ACTTTATTGGTCCCTTCCCAAGGACGAAAAGAGGTAATATAGGAATCTTTATAGTACTCGATCATCTATCGAAATTCACGTTTCTTAAACCGGTAAAGAAGTTTACAACTCAAGTCGTCGTATCATACCTGAAAGAGGAAATTTTTGATTGTTACGGAACGCCTGAGGTTATAGTCAGCGATAATGGTTCGCAATTCAAAAGTCATGAATTTTCTTCTTTTCTTTCTAAGCGTGGCATTACCCACACTTGCACCGCAGCCTATTCGCCGCAGTCCAATTCCGCAGAAAGAGTTAATAGGTCTATTAATGCTGCATTGAGAGCCTATACCCGATCCGATCAGAGAGAATGGGATAGATATCTTAGTAGTATAAACTGTTCTCTGCGTCGTCATATACACCAGTCAATAGCTGAATCTCCATTATAAATTACTCAAAAATCTCAATTTGCTTAATGAAAGTTCCTTACGACTAAACCGACAAGACAATTCTCTACGTTACGTTTTGACCTCCAAAAGCATTTAGACAAAGCTTATGAAAAGAATGAGCAACCCTATAACCTCCGATCTAGGCCTCGATCTTTTCAGGTAGGAGACGAGGTAATTAAACGAAACTTCGCCCTTAGCAATGCCGCCGACCACTTTAATGCTAAGCTTGCACCGGTAGGAATAAAGGTCCGTGTCAAGCAAATACTGGGAAACTCTCTCTATTTACTTGAGGATTTAAACGGAAAGGAATTAGGAACATATCATGCAAAGGATATTTGGTAACAGTAGACACCCTTTTTCAGGTTTTATCTTTGTCATAAAGACTAAAGATTAATCCTGTGCTTTAGGGGTGTGAAATTATTAGGAAAAGATTCTTCTATTTTTTTTAAATATAAAATAGCGCTACTGGTTCCGCAACCTGGTGGCAACCACACATCCTAGAAAATACTAAACGATAATTTCGTATTTTCTAACACTGCTTGTCAGAGGGCTTGCACCCGCCATTTGCGTTTTTTCGTTCTCTTATTTCTGATCTTTCGGCCAAAGCACACGCGTTTTAAATCAAATCGAATTTTGCAAAGAAGTGCTAAGTCCACGTGTGTATATATATACGCACCATATCGGGCTTAATAACCGCCTAACAAGACAAAAGACTAATAAGTAAACCACCACAAAGCTATTTCCAAACGCCCAAAGTGGCTGGCGTAATTTAGCTGGCACCGATCGCAACATCCAACTTATAGTTGAAAAACTAATTAGGTGAGCATAGGGAATTTAATATTTTTCAATAATTGTGTACTAATGGATAAAGGAAAGTAGGAGTGCGCAGCGCTATTTGATCAAATCGCCTGGTGCTCGTTTTGGCCCACTCTGGCTGCCAACACGTGGAGCGGGACTACTCGAGCCGAGCCACATACAGTTTACCAGTGCAAATTTAAGTTTCGAGCCAAGCTTTCCAACCGTTGTAAGACAAAGGAAAACTTAAGGTAAATAAAAGTAAACCCAGCCTTGACCAGTTAGTTATTATGTTTGCCGTTCCTAGATTGATACACGTGTTGTTCGCCATATTCTCCTGACCAGTTGCGAGTAACCTAACCCCGGACTGATTGTTAGCCATCGACACGTCCAACACGAGCGTATCGCGGATAAGCAGACACCCGGGAGTCTTGTTCTAGCTGTTGAATCTGCCGCCTCGCAGCTAAGGATTCACTCCCGATCTCGGCAGCCGATCTGACTGTTGCATCGCTTTTGTAGTTTTTAGAATAGATTTAAATTTTATAGAAATTAAGCTTATTACACGGGTACAGTATGTATATGTTAGATTGACTGTTAACTAATAATATTTTGTAGTTCACTCAGCATACACACATCCTCGTTTACACACACCGTCCACAGGCCTGTCGACTGCACTGGAAACAGATTTAAAGTATTAATGTTGTAAGTACGGCATAGCCGACCGTCTGTTAACATCAATCTGAGCCAAGTAATATAACTATAGAATAACTATAGATTCAAGTCTCGACACCCGTGCTATTTTGTTGAAGACTACCTTTTTTCTTTTTAATGCTTAATTGTTAACGTAAATTTTTGAATGAAGAACATAAATGAAGTCATTTGTACCCATTATATGGTTAATCTGCCATGGGCAAGCTAACGTTAAGAAAATCATAAGCAGCCGCCATGGGCAACTTATCTTTAATTGAATTTTGGTACGTATTTGAGAATGAAGTATAAAATGAAGTGAATTTGTTTGCGAATTGGGACACCTGAAGTAACTGTGCATCAGTAATAAGGGCATTGGCCACATACGCAAAGCGAGCCTATGCAAGGTTGGGTGGGTTTTTGAAGAGGAATTAAAGGACATCTGCAATTCCTCACACTTAGTATAAAATTAGATTCTTTGAGCTTTGGTTTAGTTATTCAATAGTTCCCTACTCTGTCTACTATTTAAGTTTATGTGACGGCGCGGTTCTCTAGGTAGCAAAACCCCACTCCCATTTTCCCTGAGCACAGCCGACCCTGTAGGCAGAGTACGCTGCCAGATAGCCGCACACATTGCCGTGTTCGTTACACTATTCGGACGGAGAACGAAGACCAAATATGTCCGCCTTTGTAAATACAGAAACACAGGCCATGTTACGAGACGGCATAATCCAACCATCTAGGGTTGTAGATAAGAAAGGGACTAATGAACAGGGAAACACAAAAAAAGACTTGTAATAGACTTTAGAAAACTTAATTTAAAGGCGGTAGACGACAAATATCCTATTCCGAATGTAGTTTTCATCCTGGCCAATTTAGGCAAGGCAAAGTACTTTACCACTTTGGATTTGAAGTCTGGTTTTGACCAGATACTACTCGCTGAAACTGACAGGGAGAAAACGGCCTTCTCTGTAGGGAATGCGAAATACGAATTCTATGGGCTTCCCTTTGGATTGAAGAATGCACCCAGCATTTTTCAGAGAGCCATCGACAATGTGCTCAGAAAACAAATAGGGAAATCATGCTATGTCTACTTCGATGACGTAATTATTTTTTCAGAAAATATGCATGAACTTGTGAAACACATAGCATGGGCAACCAATCACACTATTCAATGTCAGATCATTCCTTGGTTTAGCGAGTTACTATAGGTGTTTTATTAAAGACTTCGCGTGTATTGCAAAACCTATAAGTGACAACCTAAAAGGTGATAACGGCAAAGTGGGAGCTAGACAATTAATTAAAAAAAACAAGGAAGAACGCTATAGTCGAGTATCTCGACTATCAGATACCCGTTATTCAGCTAAAGGGACTAAAGGGAAATGGAGATATGCAAGCGAGAATGAAATGCGCCACATACCGGCGGTAGACAGATTTAAGCGTTAAGGGCGTTAGAGTGGGCGTGGCATATATTTTTTTAATCAATCGATAGGTAACCACGACCAATACATTTCAGTTAAAATTTGTTATCTAGCATGAAAATTGTGGGCGCCACAGGCTTGGGCGGTTTGTGGGCGTTAGAGTGGGCGTGGCATATTCGCGTATCAAACTTGCGCTGCGTATAAGGCTACGGAATCTAAATCTGAGATCCCAATTCTCTATCTTTGATAGTTTCCGAGATATCCACGTTCATATTTACGATTTTTTGAAGTTTGTGGGCGTTTAAGTGGGCGTGGTAAACTTTTTTTTGGATCAATCGATAGGTATTGATAGGAACAATACGCTTCAGTTAAAATTTTTATTCTATCATCAACACTGTATAAGTCCCAATTTTTTATGCGGTTTGTGGGCGTTATAGTGGGCGTGGCGCGCTGCGGAAGAAGCTCAGGAATCTGCACGCCAAATCTCAATAGCGTAGCTCTTATAGTTTTCGAGATCTCAGCGTTCATCCGAACGGACAGACAGGCGGACATGGCTAGATCGACTCGGCTAGTGATCCTGATCAAGAATATATATACTTTATGGGGTCGGAAACGCTTCCTTCTGCCTGTTACATACTTTCCGACGAATATAGTATACCCTTTTACTCTACGAGCAACGGATATAAAAATCACCCACTTGGGATCGACTAACGCGGAAAAGGAAAATACCATAGTGACTCTTTGTGGACTGCCTATCCGTTTTTATCACGATTTTAATGTTTGTGATTTATATAATAATAATATAATAAAAATAAAAATCATAATATAAATCAAAAATAATCATTATTCCTGAGCAAAAAAAAATAAAAGTCAAAAATAATGATTATTTCTGATTGATATTTTTTTGATCAAACTAAAACTCATTTTAAAACAACGGCTCTCCTGGGCCGATTTTTTGAATAAACCTACAAAGGAGTGTCCTGGAAAACAAAATGGTTATATTAGCCTTCTGCATCCTTGCAGATGATATTTTGTCATGTCATTCTTCAAGGCAAATGAAGAAGAAATTAAGAATTCGCGGATACTGAAGAATTGATAAAAGTTACTGGGTAAATTGTTGGTTTGATATTTAAATCAATTCTTTAGTAACCGCGAATTCTCAAGACGTAGAGGATTACCTTTTACAGATTGTGTGGATCACACTCAACTTAATAAAAGGCATTTAAAAATATTGTTCCCTTTTGCTTTGAAGAATTGGCAGTTTCAATTGGTTAATTAGTTCAATTTGAACAAGAGAAAAGGAAAACCGCATTTTGTTTGGGACTTGTGAGCAGATAATCATATGTACTAGCGTGGTTAGGTCAAAAGCACTTCTACTGCCTAAAGCAAAAATATCTACAAGGATGCAGAAGGCCAATTTGCCATTTTGTTTCCAAGAAAACTTCTTTGATTTCCTTTTGTAGGTTTATTCAAAAAATTTCAAAATATCGGCACAGGAAATGAGTTTTATTTGTGATCAAAAAAATAAAAATCAAAAATATTCATTATATTTGATTATTATTATTTTTGGTTAGGAATAATGATTATTTTTGATTTTTATTATAAAACTAAAAAAATTATGATTATTTCTTTGTGTTATTTTTTTTTTATCAAAAATTATGATTATTTTTTGAGTTTTACAATAAAACTCATAATGATTACGGTCCCTGCTTTTTTGTCATTTAGAAATTGCTTTCATTTAAGTTTGGCACCTTCGGTCCAATTTCTGGCTACCACATCAATAAATGCTTATGAATTCCTTTATTCATATTTATATTAAATTATACACAAAAATATGAAAGTCTGCTGTGATGGTCCGGTAATAACGAATGATACAACAACCGAAAGGTATTGCAAAAATTAAAAGAACTGCATTCCAAGAATTCATTTTATTTGAATGACTAGGGGAAAGAGCGGTAAGAAGCTACTAATGGGGCACAATATGATAGTCTCTGAGCTTACTTTACATTTTAATGAAAAAAACGAGTCAAATGACAAATCATTTGTTAAACCCGATGGTCTTTTCAAAAGTTAGTTTCTCAAAATAAAAATGTTGGTCTGCATGATATTGTGTTGGGGACTTTAAAGGAGTGTTAAGACGCTGAAATGCATTGCTGTCTTTAATATCTTTTTTATTTTTCCGAAAAAAATGTTGGCACGCCCAATCAAACGCCCACAAACCGCCCAATACCCGTTACTCAGCTAAAAATAAGTATACTTTTTACATTTTATCTACATAAAATTTTACACCTTTCGCGTTTATCTATTAGCTGCGACGTCAAAGACGATGTTCTTGTTAAATACGGGCGTAAAATCATTACTAACTAGTAAATTATAATTTAACAATACTCGGCGTGGCGGTAGGGGTTGAGAAGCGGAATAGAAGAAAATTTATTTTACATTTTAATCTTTTTAAATGTGGGCTCCACAGTTCTTGGCGGTTTGTGGGTGTTAGAGTGGGCGTGGCACCTTTCGGAAATGAACTCTAGAATCTACATGCTTTATGCCAAAACCATAGCTTTAGTATCCGTTCGTACAGACGATTTTTGAAGTTTTGTGGTTAACGGACGGTTGTTTTGACAATTTGGTGTTACAGAATCTGTATAGTTTTGGAAAACTTTTGGCAAAGCCAACTTTTTATTTTGATATTAACTTAATTTTGAAACGGTTTCTTAGACACTGCTGTTTTGGTGAAAGTTGGATGAAGGAGATTTCTGTGACACGCCTGAATAAGATCGTTTTGGAAAATATCGTTTTTGATTGACCCATTTTTTTTTTGTATTATATTAACCAATCGTTGTGGGATGATGTTGAAACCCCGGCCGTGTCGTAGAGGTCTGGGCGTTCGTGTCTTGTGGGGCGCTTGATTTCGTTAGCTTTTCTATTAATTGGAAAAACCCAAGAACGGTCGATTGCTAGTTATTTAAACAAAGTACAAGATTATTTCACTGATTCAGATATACAGTGACGAACTTAAGTGTTGGCACACTTAGCATCTTGAACTTCAAGTGTTAAATATTCCCCTTATCCAAAATTATTTTGTTGAATTTCACAACACTTATAAAAGTAGAAAAGCGCACTTAAAGTTCAAGATGCGAAGTGTGCCAACACTTAAGTTTGTGACTGTAAAAGCTTGGAGTGCCATTACCACAAGTTCAGTCCGTGCACATCAGGCCAACATCAATGTTCCTCTTTTATTCTTGTGGCAATTATTCTCCTTGGCACCGCCCTGGTGCTCGGTTTCGACGAAAACGGGAATCCTGTATGACTGAAGTGAATGCCGTCGACGCTGACATGCAGGAGTTAATCAAAACGCAGCCCACCGCTACCTATGCTGGCAATTGCCTTCGTGCATGCGTGATGAAGAGCTTTGGGCTGCTTGGCGCCAACGGTAATCTGGATACAGAGGTCGGGCTTGAGAAAGCAAAGCAGTACACGTGTAACGATCCGGCGAAGTTCAAGCTGGCTCTCGAAATTGACGACTCGTGTGTCAGATGACCACAGTGGACCGCCGAAATCTACGGCGCCTGTTAAAGGTCAAAAGGGGGCCTATTAGCTCCTCCGGAACGCCCGACATAGACAAACAGTGACTCTACCATGACAACGTACACACATATAGGTGTATGTACCTTTAAGTTCGATCAATCTACATCAGGGGTCGGCAGCGGCCTATCTAGTGAGCATAGGGAAGTGTTCTGCCCATCCTCTGCTCGCTCGCGTATAACGTAGATGTTCGTGTGACTTCGGCATGGGTCTTCGGGTCATATTTTTCTCAGCTTCGGCGCGTTTTTTTGTTGCTGCGGCAAAGGATCTCAGTGCAAAGCAGAGAATCGTCAGGGTTCAGCACACCGCGCGCAAACTTTGTGTTTGTTACACTCACACTAATACAAGACAAACTTGTGATGGTATGTGTGTGCCGACCACTGATCTACATAGTTCATTTAAAATAAACATATTTCCAAAAGTACTTACTCTCGTACAACTTCTTTTCCTTGTCGGCGTCTATTTTATCAAGTGCGGAACGCAGATTGCTGCGCTCCTCTTCGTCCAGGTTGCATAGCAGATTCATCGCACGCTCCGTAGTTATGTGGGTGCTAAACTTAGAGTAGTTCCTGGGGCTGGAAGTGGTGCAGGTATATAAAGGCAGGATCAGCTGTTGCTTACCCAGAAGCTCAACGCCACAGCACAAAGGTCTAGTCGTAATGCTCTTGCACCGATGAATAAGGTTTCTGAAGGCAACTTTGCATTGTCGCATTGTTATGCGTTCCTGTTTATTTATTTGTTAATAAATTACACAATCACACTTCCGACAATCTGAGCAAGTTCTGCCACACACTCAGTAGCACACCGACTGGCCGGCGATTGACAAGTTTGTTGTGCGCTTAAGCTGCGGGTTGGACTGCAAAGCATTTATGCGCAACAGCGAAATTTTAGAATTTTGCGCTCAGCGAATAGAACATAAGTAGGGATTGAATACTAAGTAGAGGTTGCAACAGTGTGCTAATTTGTCAATATTCCCTCTAGTCTTATCGGTCTTTAACTAGTAAATAAATGCGAAACATCTATTAGGCCCCGTTTACACTACATTCAAGTTAGCATTTTGTTACAGCTTCTTCCCACAGAGCCCTGCAGTTCACAAATTGAGTTAAGCGCCCAATCATCACGAAGCCGGCTGCGACGTCGGCAGAGCAGCCAGCGACGCCGGCTGAGCTGAGCGGAACGGCGGCAATGAGACGCGCTCTCAGTCGGGGTCCGCAAAGAGAACGCACAAAAAGTACTTTTGAGCTCTCTCTCTCTCTCGCCATGTCTCAGCTGGAAAATGCGTGCGAGGGCAATGAGGCTCAGCAATTAAAATAGCTAGACTTTTATGCACCCTTGCCTTTTGAATAATGCGACATTTTTTCGTAAATGTTAAAACAACCAATTAATATAATATGTTTGGGTTTTAAATTATTTGTATTTCTTAAAAAAATGTATATGTTTATTTATATTATTTATTAATATGTAAAGTCTTAAAAATATATTTTTATATAACGATTTGCATAACCGTATATGTCTATAAATACCCTGATTTTATGTGCAAGATGCATAGACCAAACGGGACATGCCAAAAACACAGAGCAACAACGGATTAGCGGAACCGTTGTTGTTGTTGCTTGTTGTTTTTCTGAAAGGCACGCGACTTTTTTTGTCTTTTTCACTTGCGTTTACTTATGTGAAGGAATTAGAATTGCCCGCAATTAACGTAGTTAAGTAAAATAAACCAGTGGTTTGAAAGTGATACCTATACGATTCCCAGGTAAGTCTGTCGCAGACCAATATTTATTTAAACAGTGAGAGTGAAAACAAGATAATGTATATTCAAAAAATGGAAAATACAAGATTCCCAAAAAAACACGTGGCGGGAAAATAATAGCTGTGAAAAATATTAATTTTTGACGTGAAAAACAACAAATGATGCATATAAAAAAATAAATGAATGAATCTGTGAAAAAATTTAATAATGTTATTGAGTGCAAAGTTCCTAGGGACCAAAATTAAGAGATGTCTGTTTTTATAACTTATGTTTGTTTGTATTAATAACATTAGAGCACAATTTTTATTTTTGTGTAAAGCCTAGTACTCACATCGCCGAAAACTGCGAGCTAACCATAGGAGTGAGCGAGAGGCAAACAGGCGGCTAAAGCTTTTCGTCGGGTCTGTTTTTCAGCGCCGTACTCAGATGAGCTAAGGAAATACCAGAACAAATACCAGATTTCGAGAGTGAATTTTCGATGAACACCGTTAGCCGCGGCCCAAAAAATAAGAAATTTAATCTTTGGCGGTGTTCGTGCAGAAGAAATGGAAGAAAAACACCAAAAACGGCTAAAGGACGTCAGTGCAGGTGAAAAAGGACGCCTAATCCAAGCTGTTGCCCATTATTGTGGGACTTGACCGACAGGAAGCAATACCACAACGGGGCAAATCCGCAGAATAGTTGAAGCGCTGGAGGAGATCCACTAGAGAATCCCAGTGGGAAGGAACGTGGGACATCGCTCGACGACGAGGTCTCCATTGAGGAATAAACCTCCACCAGCTACTTGGCAGCCAAAGCAAAGATGGAGGAGGCGCCGGCTTCTATGGGGAGGAGAAAATATGGTCGCCCGCTAAGGGACAGCTAGAGGAGCCATCACCAGCCATTATTGGCCAGCCTATTGGGACTTGGAGCTGGACTACAGATGGCGCGGGAAAGATGGCGAAGCATCCGTGGAACGAGAAGAAAGCCTTAAACTTATAATTTACATAAATAAAAACATTCGTTGAACATTCTATTTATTTTTATTTTAATTTCTTTGTGCACCAGCAGACTCTTCTTTTTTAAATTGCTCCAATTGATTTCTGTTCCGTTTGGCAACAAGCCCAGCTGCTTAACAGTAAGACCATGCCATATGCATTGCGGGTGAACTTTGAAAACTTCGGTCACACTACAAAGAATACGATTTTTCGACTAGTGAAGCTCTTAGCCGATCTGATCTGGCTTAAGTAAACAAACATGGCTATTTAAATAAAAATCTCAAACATCTCTTATTTTCCGTCCCTGGAAAAGTGGTATTTTTTTCCGCATCTGCAAAATAAATAAATGATTTAATAAATAATAAAAAAATACATAAATAATTTTTTACAACAAAATAAAATAAATCAAGTGACCGAAAACAAAAGTTTGCAAATTTCTTCTCCATATTTTTTTTATTTTCTTACATTTTTAGACAAGGCTGATGGTAAATCTATAAAGAAGTGGAAGGCTAAATAGTTCTATCTTAAAGCCTAGTACTCAGATCGCCTAAGCGTTTCACTAGACGAAAAATCTTATTCTTTGTAGTGTGACCGAAGTTTTCAAAGTTCACCCGCAATGCATGTAGCATGGTTTTACTCTCAAGTAGTTGGTTTTGAAATTTAAATTTAAAAAGGAGGAGTCTGCTGGTACACAAAGAAATTAAAATAAAAATAAATGGAATGTTTAACAAATGTTTTTATTTATGTAATTTAGTAGTTTAAAGCTTCCTTCTCGCCCCACGGATGCTTCGCCATCTTTCCCGCTCCACCGCAGTCCAACTCCGAGTCTCAATAGACATATTGGACTTTGAGGAAGAGGGAGCCGGATTGGGAACGGGGTTGATCCGCTGATACAGCAGGAAGTCGCCCAGCATCCTGGCAGTGGCTGGCTATGGTTTCTCCAACTGTTCCTTAGCGGGCGCCCTATTTTCCTCCATCCTCTAGAAGCCAGTGGGTCTTACAGCTCCGCTTAAGCTGCCAAGTAGCTGGTGGATTTTACTTTCTTTGCGAGGACGCGCCCGGCAGGATGTCTGTGTACAGATCGAAGTTCCCCTCGGCATGTTCCTTCCCACTGGGATTCTCTAGTAAATCTCCTCCAGCACTTCAACTATTCTGCGAATTTGCCCCTTTTGTGGAATTCCTTCCTGTCGGTGAAATCCCACAAAGAAGGGCATAAGCTTGGATTTGGGGTCCTATTTCATCTGCACTGACGTCCTGCATCCGATTTTGGGGTTTTCCTTCCATTTTTAATTTTTAGTTTCCACATCGCATTTGCACGAACACCGCCAAAGATTATGGGCGTTCATTGAAAATTCACTCGCGAAATCAGGTATTTTTTCTGGTATTTCCTTAGCTCATCTGAGTACCGCGCTGAATAACAGACCCGACGAAAAGCGTTAGCCGCGTATTTGCCTCTCGCTCACTCCTATGGTTACCTCGCGGTTTTTGTCGATCTGAGTACTAGGCTTAAAAGTAAGAGGGTAACTCTGGTCACTTGTAAACATGGAGGAATTGCAATCGTATAAAATATGCAAGTAAAGGATATCTGATAGGATGCTGCCCTGTTAGGAGATCTAATAGTTTAGTTGGCTTATTCTCGGCATTTTCCGTAATTTTACACATAATCTTTGGTAAGCACGGCCCGACAATTTAACAATCTGACAAACAGCTGACATCTTAAAATTGAAAGTTCAACAGGGAACTTTTAGGGTCGTTCCCTTAGTTGCTTAAATGTCCTGTTGAATTTTCAACAATTCAGCAATTCAACAGTTTAGGGAATACCCTGATTGTTTTATTTTTAAATTTCTTAATCACTTTTTTTTTTAAATATTTCGAGTCAGATAAGTCGCGGAAAAATATCAATAAACACACTACTTACATGGTCTTAATTTTAATTTTTTTTAAATTAAAATGTTGCCGCTGTTGGTGCTCGTTGTAGTTTCCTTCTTCTTGATTTTTCTTATGTTGTTGCTGCCAGTTCCTGGTATGACGACGTTGGCGTATTTAATTATGTTATGTTATTAATACTTCTGCTGCTGTTGGTTCGGGGTTTGTTGGTACTGTTTTTATTAATTAATTTATTTATTTTTTTTAACTGCTCGAGGGTCTTACGAACGTGTTGGTTGCCAATTAAATTGAGAAGACTTTGGTTTCGCGAGGCGATGACCGTCACGATTTATTTCCAAAATTCAACTAACTGCTAAGTACATAAATTCTTAAAATAAAAGCTAGCCCTATGCTCTGATTTGCAGCCGCTTCCTGCGTCGCGGTGCATTGCCCGCCGATTGTGTGCTGCTTCCGTCGCAGTGCATTGCCAGCTGATTATGCTGTCCATAGCACCGTCGTTGTGCAATATCCGCAGGTGACGCTGGCCTTGCATTATTCCCATCCGGATAATCGGGATCATCCTGGTAACTTTTCTGTTGCTGGGTGACCGTGTTAACTTATACTCTATAGCTCCCATTGGAATAATCAAAACACTATTTAAAAAAAAACGTTAAAAAATGCTAACTGTGGTGTTTTTTAACATATTAACTTTTATTCTTGGAAATGTTTTTTATTTATTTATATAAAGCTATCTTACAGTGTACAACTCAGAGCTAACTTAAAAATTACAACGCTAGCAACTAAGGCTTTCGGCTCGTATGGGTTATTTTATATCGAGCCAGCCTTCTTAAATGGTATGGGATAAATTTGTTTTACGAAGGAAGGAGAGGATTTTTGTTAATGTTGATGTTGGTAGGGTTTGAAATGATGTTAATGGGGTTTTCCGAGTTAAACGTATCTCTTCTGTGTTGTGGTTTAGGTATATTGTCGAGTTGTTACAGAACGGATATGTGTTGGGGAGGGATCTATCGATGTTATGAGCATTTGTAAGTTTGGTGTATCCTAACCAGAGTGTGACAGATGGTTTGCGGGGAAGATTGAAGTATTTGTTTATACCAAGTAGAGACTCTGTTGTGCATGCCAGTTTGTTTGGATTTGATGTTGTTTTCTAGGAAGTGTGAGATATCGTTGGCATTGTTGTTTGGGGTGTAGGTGTAGAGGGGGCGTGGCAATTTTTTTTTCGGGTCACTCGATAGGTATTGATGAGAAGAAAGAATAGAGTGGGCGTGGCAAAATTTTGGATCAATCGATAGGTATTGACGAGACCAATACATTTCAGTTAAAATTTTTATTCTAGCATAAGAATATATATACTTTATGGGGTCGGAAACGCTTCCTTCTGCCTGTTA